GTCGCCAGTTCTCAGCTTCCAGCTCCACAGATTGCTCCGCGTACTAAAGTTGTACTACAAAGTCGCCAGTTCTCAGCTTCCAGCTCCACAGATTGCTCCGCGTACTAAAGTTGTACTACAAAGTCGCCAGTTCTCTCACCAGTTCTCATCTTCCAGCTCCCCAGATACCCCGCGTACTAAAGTTGTACTACAAAGTCGCCAGTGCTCGCCTGCATTTCGCGCGCTCGACACGCACGATCTCCGCAGAGGGTTGCGCGGGCACCGGACAAATCGCACTCTCGCCTGCATTTCGCGCACTCGACACGCACGATCTCCGCAGAGGGTTGCGCGCGCATGGGGCAAATCGCACTCTCGCCTGCATTTCGCGCACTCGACGCGCACGATCTCCGCAGAGGGTTGCGCGGGCACTGGACAAATCGCACTCTCGCCTGCATTTCGCTCACTCGACACGCACGATCTCCGCAGAGGGTTGCGCGCGCATGGGACAAATCGCACTCTCGCCTGCATTTCGCGCACTCGACACGCACGATCTCCGCAGAGGGTTGCGCGGGCACCGGACAAATCGCACTCTCGCCTGCATTTCGCGCACTCGACACGCACGATCTCCGCAGAGGGTTGCGCGCGCATGGGACAAATCGCAGACTTCCTCAAAAACTAGTCAAAGTCTGCAAAATGAGCGTTTCGTACGAGACTTCCTCCAAAAGTCAAGCGGAAACACCCATCGGAGCACACACATCACGCAGCCCTGCCAAGCAGTTTCGCGATTCCAGCCCCTCCAAACAACATCCGCTCACACGCCAATCCCAATGTGACAGCGACATTCACCTCTACCACAACTCACAACCTCACGATTCCCTGCGCCTGCCACGAATCTTTCCCCATCCACACGTCTTATATGCGCCTGCCACGAAATAATGTCACCTCCCTCACACCTCGCAACCTCACGATTCCCTGCGCCTGCCACGAGAATCGCACTCCCACGCTTCAAAACCCGCACGAAGTCCTGCGCCTGCCACGAAAAGTGACAATATCATCGCATGTGAGCTTCAACAAAATTTGCACCACACAACACGTTTGGAATGATTTCGACCCGTTCAGAGCACACTCCCATCCACCAAAATCGCCACTTCAGCTGAGACTTGTCACGAAAACCGAGCTTCGATGCCACACCCTGAAACGCAAATCCCAATGGCACGGCCACATCCAACACCCCAAAAACGCGACTCTCCAAACGCTAATCCCAATGGAACTGTACAGTAATCTGCGGATCTCACAAAACGCTGCGCCTGTGCAGCGAAATGCATCACGTTTCTTGCGCGACATGTCGGTGTCATGCAAATCACAATGGAATTGCAGCGCAAACTGACACGTGACACATCCATGAAAAGTCACTTGCAAAAGCTTCCCCCAATGGCAGCAAATTTGAGACGCGACGACGACGACACGACGACGACAAACGACGAGAGACGACGACAAACGACGACACGACGCAAGCCATGCAAACACAGCTCCAACCCCCAGACCCCCAACTATAAACGGGAACCCTTCGCTACGCATTCGGGAAAAAATACCCCCAAAGTCGACCATGTTGGTAGTTTAGTAGCGGCTTGAAAGGGCGGTAATTTAAAGCACAATATAAACCGAATTTGGAGGTTCGGACGTTGTGTTTTTTAATTGGGGAGTGCTTATTAATAGGCACTCGGGATTACGTGGCTGGTATTTTGTGTGTTTCGACGCTCAGTGACCCGGATTCTCGGTGACTGCCCGCCCTTTCGTACGCCGAGGGTGGCGATCGGAGAACCCCGAGGGTTTCAAGGTCCCCGACTGGGAGGAGTCTTTGAAGGGAGAGCAGGTGCAGCGGGTGCAGGTGCCCCCCCCCGCCAGGTGCCCCAAATTCGTGGCGGCCAAGGTGCGAATCCGAGAGGTCAAGAAACAAAAGGTCATCTACGGGATCATCTGGACGACCACTAAACGACATCATTGGCCGCATGGTCTCGCATTCGCGTGACTGGAAGGTGAAGAACCATAAATTTTAAGAGGCCCTTTTGGGTGAGAAGGTGGCAGGGACAAGCAAAACAGCGAAGTTTTTCTGGAAGTTGACTAGCACAGGTGTCGATCTATGCCATCTACGCTGGTGAGCAGTTATAGTAAGCCCCTGTAGCTGGCTATGAAAAAAGTCGCAGGTGGCTGGGTGGGCTGTCACGCAAGCGCAGCAGGGAGCGAGCCAGGGTGAATCCTATAGTCCTTCGCATGTAGAGGATGCGTGTTTGTAACACGACCACCATCCAAGTTTCAGTGCGTGAGGTGTCTATAGCCAACCACTTACGTGACTAGTGTGCCCACCCACTACTGAACAGTGAGGATGTTTGATGTGCGCGTGGCCCCCCCCGAGCGAGGAATATGCTTTGGTGGAAGTGGGTCCCGGAGCCGATGACGTGCGCGGGTCCGCGGGCAGCACATGTTGGGTGTTTTGTTCGTCTCCGATCGCGGAGGCGCTCAAGTCGTGCTGGCGAATTTACATCGAAGGCGCAGTATAGGTTGGTACCACAGGCTTGCTGCAATATCTATATCTGCACCGCATTCACCTACGGAGACGCAGTTAGGCGAGCGTGCCACAGTGATTCAGGGTGGCAAGAAAGATGCGTCAGAACTTTGTGCCAAAAGTGCACCTTGAGAACAGAGAGAAACAAATTATTTTTATGGTTTGTGACCCCATGACGTGCGGTGTTGCCCGCACCACGAGCAATCCAATAGCAAGGCCTGCGCTAACAAACTCGTTTTCGCACTGCGCTTCCATGCGTTCTGGTATGGAAAACTATAATATAGAAACTGGATCGGAACTGGGAGTGAAGCAACTGACCGATGCCAGCAAGTTTCCGACCACGAGTCATTTTGGAACAGGTGCAGGCCAATGCGGGCTGGACAAAAAGGAAGGATGCGCAGACGATTTTTTTTTTCTTGGAGTGTATGAATAGGTGTGCCATCGTTCGTGTTTGCTTTCACAGGAGATGTTTCACAGGAGGAACTGCAGGATGGTTCCCATGATGGCCATGACTCATAACGACGCACCGGTCTGGGGTGAAAATTCGGGTTCTTCACTGCTCGGAACGAGCTTCACCTCCGCTTGCCTTTGAGGCGCCGCTTTTGAACCAACGAGAAACGGTTCGGCTAATTCACCAAAGGTATCCAAAGGTGATCACTGAACATCAACCATGAGGATGCTGCATGCATGCTTAATTGATGATTATGTTTGGTGTTGCAAGCACGAACGACCAACAGGGGCCGAATCGGTTGCCGATACCGAGTAATTACTCCTCTCTAAGTTGTGAAGTCATGGGAATGTGCGCGAAAATGGTCTACATTAGATTGTTCCAAGCTAAAATAGTCTAGGGGGTCAAAAAGAACACCTAACAGACCAACTACAGAGTTTGATTTTCAATTGCTTGTAAATAATTGAAAACACCAGCAGTAACGCGGACTAGTTGCTTTCTGAAGAAGACAGCTGACATGCAAACGGTCTAAGGTGTTGAACGTTCGCCTTTTCAGCCGCACGTCGTCCGTCAAACGGGTTCGAAGAATTCAGTGGTCTATACATTTGAGGGAGAAAATCCATAATGAGACTCCCACATTTGGGGTCGATGACACCTTTTTTGGAGTAAAAGAAACACCAACCAAAAAGTCCGCGCAGTTTTTCATGCAAAGCTGGAACTGGCCGCACCTTGTAGCTGCAATCGGGGCCACAATGAGTTGGAGAGTTGCCATTGTTTCCACCTAGGTTCTAAGACCGAGAAGAAACTGGACGGAAAATATGAAACACGTTTTTATCACATCATCAAAGAGAATGATCGTGCGCAACCGATTTTCTCCCTTTTGAAAGCCAGAGCGTCATCTCCCCCCTTCGATGAATTCCGGGCCTGAGTTTGTACTATCCTCATTTGAGGAAACCAATTTACAAATTGAAACCAAGATTCAGTCAAAAACATAATCACCCTATGGGAATTAAAGGATCCATGCGAAAGGACTACTCTATTATATGTGAATTGACCAACTCAGTGACCAACTCAATATGAGTTGAAGACTCCGTGTGAATTGGACACTCCATGTGAACTGAGCACTCAAAGTAGGATGACAATTCACGAAGTCAATTTTTCACAAATACTTCATCTAATTCTATGAGCGCCTCCCTAATTGGTACAGTATGCACGCAGTTGTACAGTTTAGGTACGTTCCTTCAATTTTTCGTTTTTCACCAAGCACAACCATCAATTTCCCCTTTGCACACATCATATTTAATTACACAGTAGGTGTAATGCCAACGGCCACTACAGGCACCGCCGAAAGTGGCTATGGCAGTGAACAAAAAGAAGTAAAAAAGACAACTTCCGTTAGTAACAATGTTCGCTACTAGGGGCTCCTGGCATCGCTACTAGGAGCAAGGACGCTACTAGGGGCTCCTGGCTGTACTACTAGGAGCATTCTTGCTACTAATACGCAACAACTGGTGACTCCTAGCGACGGCTGAACAACTGAGGTTACCTATACCAAACGTAGCAAAACAACATTTGAATTACGGTATATGCAACCAAGGTGGGTTAATGTATTTTACCAATGTTGTATTTGCTGGAAAAATGATCTTTAAACTTTTTCATGGTAGCTGGAGACATGCTTTCGCCGCAGCACATGCCAGGTACGACTACTCCTTCGCGCTCATATGGCGTTACAAACGCTGAAGGGGCGCAGTGAGGCATACGAGGCCGCGGCGGCCAAGAAAGTGTCCCTTACGCTCCATGGGACTAACATATTTATCTACATTGGGGTGGTTTCAAGGGTAAATCTAGTAGGCATATATATTCAATATTCCATACATGGAGTGTCTGGGTTTGCACATAGTTTTGTTTGTGAAAAGGGTTTGGTTACATTTTTGGCCACCTAAGATCCTTCCACGGCACATGAACGGCGGTCTGGGGCAAACAAGTTACATCACGTGATTGTACAAGGGGCACACGAGTGTTTGGTTGGCGGCTATTTTTCAATATTTTTCATGTGCAGCTTTGGGTGTGTCGCCTGTTCACGCCTGTTCCTTTTCGTTTTTTCGTTGTGCTTTTCCACCAGTGCGTGGGCATCAGCGAGATCACCGAGATCCGCGCAGTCGCTTCGACGCTGTAGGCGAAGGTGACCTCGAGTGCTCTTTGGAGTCCTGAGATGGGCAATCACATGGTGGAAGGCGTCCGGAAGGCCCAGATGTGCCACACAGACACGGGAGACGTCGCTTGACGTCGCTCCATGCGAGCCGAGTAATACAGCTACAGCTGTGTGGGGCTCGAACCGCCGGATTGGGCGGGCGTTCGCTGTGCGCGCAGACTAGGGACCGAATTTCTTGCGGATTTGTACTTCTGGTCACTATAATAAATATAGTAGTAATGGCCTCCACCCTAATGGCCTCCACGCTAATAGCGTCTGGGGTTCGGACCGCGGTGGGTTTCTGGGAAGTGGCGTAGTTTGGACAAACGACGACCAGCAACTCCCAACCCAAACGGGGTGTGTGGATCCTTTCGGCAAACTACGCTTTGTCGCCTCGCATTGTGGGATGTCTTTGGATTTCTTCAAGGTTGAAAGCTTTCTGGATGGTAAAAAAAAACCTTTGAAAAGAAGCTGATCAAGTGATTTGAAACAGGATGACAGCACTCTCCCGAAGTAGTGGGCAGTTGACAGCATTCCCCTGAGTATAGCAGTTCAATCTTTCCCGAAAATCGTTTGCAGGCTTCTGACCGTCAGACAGTCCTTGAGTCCGGACAAATTTGACCCATTTGACCGGCTGCAGGACTGAATCGTTTTAATGTAGTTGGTGTATTAAATGGAAGGAGACTTCCAGCCCCCAGATGCCGCCAGATGCGGTTTCGGTTCGGATCCAGACTAGATCTGGACCTGCCAGTCTATAGTCAGGGCGAGACCCTCCCAATTCAACACATCCCGTCGTTCATCCCAGCGGTTTCACCCCGGACCTCGGAACGCTCGGACCGTCCGACCGAACGACGGACCCAGTCCAGCGAGTCACATCGGTCCGTTCGGTCCGGTCGGGCGCCGTCGGGTCGAGGTGTTTTCCTCACAGCTCAGTCGTCTGGCCGAGGTCTTTTGGGGACCTGGCCAGGTTGGCTTCTGTATGACCTTCATTTGTCAGAATGTGTTGGCTTCGGCTTCGGCTTCGAAGTCTCCCTGAGTTCGGTTAAGTTCAACGCCTGGGATCTGCCGGCACCATCACCCGCGGCCGCCCCATGTCGTGCGGTGCTGCGGCACCGTCCAGTCCACCCCACACGATTGAGGTCACGAAGCCGCCGTACCAAGCGTCCTTGGATGAGATCGACCTGGTGGAGGAGCGATTTTGGGTTTTTCCAGACGTGATCCCGGTGATGGACGTGGCACTTGGGACAGTCCCGGGAGGGAGGAAGGTGGAGGAAGGTTCGGAGGTTCGATTCGGGAGTTGGACCGGTCGGACCAGTTCACTCACTTGTTTCTTTCTGGTCGGCAAAGCCGTGGAAATGGGTCATGGATGTTTCATGGATCTCAGAAAGTTTGGTTCAGATGTCTTACTGTTTTTCAGACGTCTCTATTCATACAACTGGAGACGCTAATCCAGTAAAGGGAGGGTGGGAGGGCGCTGGATTTGTTCGAACAAAATGTATCGTAGTGGTTTCTGATGTGAGAAAGCACACGGTAGTCATGATGTGGAGATCTTTGGCCCACACGATGTGGGCCATATATAGCTGTGGGCTTCGCAACGGCCGGGCTTTCGTCCTTTTTCCTTTACGTCCTCCGCTACGAGCGGGGTTATGGTTCCTTGGCGGGGGCCTTCACCAGACAGTCATGAGTCATGACGAGTCTTCACCTGATATTGACATATATACCCTAGAAGTCGAACCACCATTGTTTTACTAAGGATTTTACACTACAAAACCACGTCAACCATTCTTTTCATGGTCTTGGAAGTCTAGGATTTACACTTGTCATACAAAATTGCACACTGATTTATGAATCTCATAGGACCGGCGACACGACAGGACTGTGTTGGATGTTTCTGACGTGGAACAGCTGACCCTTACGTCCCATCTCCTTTCCAAGTGGATCTCATGTGACCTCTGGCCCTTTGTTCGACTCTGGGCCCTTCGTTTGTCTCTTCAGTCCATCGGATCGAGCTTTCCAGTTTGTACCAGATCGGGGCCCCACTTTCGGACTCAACAGAGAAACCACCTTTGGGAATCGTGGAAACCTGTATAGTAAACAATAACGCTTTCGTTTGTATGTCCTTGGTAATTACTTGCTAGTACACTATAGAAGCTGAATTGTCTCTATTTCATTGACCCCAAAAAGACACCAATTCCATTCACCCCCATCGTTTCCATCAGATCAGCGGTCGGTCCATCATATCCACTCGGTGTCCGGAGGAGTCCTTGGCCTTCCGCCGTCGAGAGCTCATGGAGGCCGTGGCGACTCCCGTGGCGACTCCCGTGGCGACTCCCGGGTCGGGGCGGTCGCGAGTCACCGGAGGAATCGGAGGAAGCGAACGTGGCTTTTCGCCCAAACCGGCGGGAGAGAAGCCTGTGGGGGAGAGAACCAAGTTGCTATGTGGTTTTGGTGCACAAGGAGGGTGTTGCTGTGTGGCTGTGGGCTCCTTCCTTCGTCTTCGGGAGTGACATGTGAACTCGCGCCGCCCGCAGCGCGCAGGTGGCCAACGGCTTGGGCTCGGAACGGCTGGGCGCCCCACTGCGGGTGAAGCCGAAACGGTGAGGACGATGGGCCATGCCGGTGGCGAGAAGGCTAGGCCAAGCTATAGCATAGAGGCCATAAGCATGCTAGAAGCATATATATGATTGGCACAGATCCCAGGGATATGCTTTTGCCATGATCTGCCACTTTGAAGGGTCCGTGACATGGATGTGCCACTTTGAAGGGTGGAAGCGAAGCTACTAGGAACTCCTGGCCTTACTACTAGGGGCACCTGGCATCGCTACGAACGGAGCATTCTTGCTTCTAGTAACAAGAAGCTACTAAGTACTAAGACTAGGTATAGGATGGGCCCAAACAGCCCTTGAGCTCGGTCAAGACAACGGGTTGACGAAACGAAACGTGGGTGTATTTGAAACCTGTGTGTTTGCAATAGGTCAGTCAATCCATGTAGGGTACATTGACCCCTGAAACCAACCAACTACTCTGACGACTGATGCGAAACCCATCGAAATCCTGGTCGTCGCAGGGGCTGGCAGGGCTTGGTGTGGACCTTCGCCAACTTCCCACTGCTTGGCACTCCTGGTGGCCAAGTGGCTTGGCATTTTTCGATGTGGCTGGAAAAGGGTTCCACGTCATGCTGAAACGATCATGGCAATGATACGAACGTGGCGACAAGCACTATGATTCTGATACTTGGGCCAGTTTGGGCCTTGCTTGACAGGACAAAACAGGCAGTTTCTTCAATTGACCTCTTGGTGACCTCTTTGGTTTCCAACCACCTGCTGGTATCTGCTTGTTCTTCAAGAGCTATCCAAGAAACAGAACAAGAACTCCTTTGTCGCGCTCACTTCTGCCCTCATGGAAGGATCGTCGCTTTGCCCCTGACCCAGACCCGAAAAAGGTATACTATATACTTTGGGTCTGGGTTTGGGTATACTATATACCAAAAGTGCACAAAAAGGTATACTGAAAGCACTTCTTTTTGGTGAAAAACCCAGTCACTCCGCGGTCACCCGTCACTCCCGGTCCCCGACCGGTCCCCGACCGGTCACTCCGTCTCTTCAGGCGCCTGCGCAGCCGGCGTCGCCCAAGCGATCGGACCCTCCGCGGGGGGCACGGGAAGGACGATGGTAGCTGGGCATCACCTGACCCAGTCTCTGGTGAAGGAATGATACATTCACCCTATAGATGTCCAAAGACTATATATATTGACCGTCTGAAGTAAAGGAAGTTCCCTGAAAAGGTCCCCTAAAGACCATTCTTTTTATAGTCTTTGACTCCCAGGGTATATATATATCATCCACTAGTAGTTTCACCTTCTCATTCATTATATATTCATTATTATTGTTATTATATAGTATCACCTTCTCAGAGTGTACTCGGGATCCTATCGGACTAGTAGTTATAGATCATTTGCCCTTAAACGGCTTCACAACGTTCACGGCATGGTTGATCTGGCGACCTGACCTGTTTCCAGCTCTTAAGACGTCACCGAAGATGAACCGATTCTTTTCAACTGGGCACGTGCCGCTATGCCGCCATCCACTGGCTGACGTGGAATCTATTCGATGCATCATTGTGTTCATCATTCCCACTTGTGGCTCAAACATCTTCAAACACTAAAAAAAAGATGTTCCATTGTTTAGCATTCCTTGACCTTTATTCATTCCTTGACCTTGCTTCTGGCTTGAGAGTAGACGACTCTTCAACAACCGTGTTGCCGTTGCCCTGATCTCCTTCACTGATCGCCGAGAAGTGAACGTGGTTTTGACGAAAAACGAGTGGAGAAACATGGCTGGAGGGGTCTCCGCGTAGACGAACCCAACTTGTTCGTATCGAACATTGCCCCATGCAGCCGCAAGGACGGCCTGGGCTCCAGATCCCGCTTCGTACCTGATGAGGCACATGGAAGGATACATGGGTGGTTGACCCAGAAGGGGGGGGCATAGGGGCTGCGGCTACGTGACCAGGTTTGGTTGTTGTGACAGCGTGATTTCCATTAACTGAGGCAATTGCGTCCTTGTTTGTTCCAAAACCAAGCAACCCAACATAAACCAACCTGTAGTGGGCGAAGGATGTTTACAACCAGGGTAATATGTAATGATCATGATCAAGCCGTTTGGAGTGGATTATCATCCGGGGTAGTTTGCATCGTATCAAGTCTTCAAACACCGGCATCTCAACACACCGAACACGACCCAGCATCTCATTCGCCTTTGGTTCCACTATTCAAAGGCAACTCTGTCAACCGAGTATGTCCATCTCAAATGCAAAAACATATGTATTTTTAGGTTGCAATTTCCATGAGCCAATCCGGTTGGTGGTCCTAAACCAATTCTTCTTTCCTCCAACCTCAACCTCCCGGCACCTCCCGGCTGAAGGCGCGGCCGATCCGATTCGTCTGTGTGAGGTCATCACACCTCATCCACGTTTCTTGGCCTTTGTGGCCAACATCCGAACCCGCAAGGGCGCGAAGGCCGAACACCCGGTCGCACTCGGACGCGAGAGATGGGCCGAAGCCGGCCCGCGAGGAGCGGCAAGACCGACGCGCAAGAGGGTTTGTTGTATGCCGGTAAGGAAGGAAATCAGGTTTTCAGGATTGTAGCAGCATCCTATAATAGGAATATAGGTATTCTGGCTGGACTACCCATACACTGCTTATGGACCTCCAGATAGGACACCCAGACAGGATGATCCTGGTAGGTGAACTTCAAAGAAGGGTGAATTCATGGTGAAGTCAAAAAGGGATGGTCAAGACATTGGTGGTTGAACCATAAATTGATGGCCTGAAAACTGCCTCGAGGTTTTGTGCTCTAGGATCAAAGGCACATTCTCACCGGACCGAATGCCACAAAGTCACATTTAGCTGCGTATATAGTAAACACTCCTTAAAGGGCAATACCCTCTCTGCACTCAGCAAGGTCGAGTTCCATACTGAAGGCAAAGAAAACTAAATCTGTGTGCCTTTTACCCAAATCTATCAATTCCTGAGTAGTAAAAGTCAGTTTCTAGTGATGTCAGTTTCTTCACCTCTACTTCTGCTGATCTTCTTCTAACTGCTCTTTGACTGATCCACAGCACCGCACAGCCGAGAGCACGCGTCTCTCAGACCGCCGCCCTGCTGCCGTTGGCCACGGACGCCTCGGGCACGTGCGAAGAGGCTGTGCAGCGGTGGTTGTTGGTGTGTCCACCGCCATTTGGTGCAACATCATCAAATATCGATACATCTGGCTTGCATGGGTGAAGCGTTTTTTTTGCGAACGCGCCATCTCTCAAAACGAGTTTAGGTCGTACGGAATGTGTGTGAAAACTCATGTTGGTCCTTGTTTCTCTCCTGTCCTTTCCGTCCGCAGTGGCTATATATACTGACTTTCTGTTTTGTCAGGTGTTGGGACATGGAGTTGGAACCCCATCGTCCGGCTTTGCCATAAGGGATGCATTTTTTTCCCTCCAGCGAAAGAAGGCGATCATCGAACATGGTAACCGCTTTTCGTCCATTCACCAACCTACACACTCCATGTAGGGTATATACCTACATGAACCCTTGAAAACCACCCCAGTCGTGGTGGGTCAATCATATGCCAGTCCCAGACAGGTCGCGTGACAGGTCCAATTCTGACCTGTCAAAACGAGACCCTTTCGGCCGTCGTGGCGCGCATCTGTGCTGCGATGTGCGGCGCCAGGCAGAGGAGATCTCGGAGAAGCTGCCTTGGGAACTGGAGGACGGTGTCGTGCAGCAATAGAAGAACGCGGATGCAGACGCTGTCAACTTCTGGAATTTGAATTAAAAACATCCTCATGTTTTCTCAACTACCTTTGGCAGACCATCCATGGTGTAGTCCTGGCTTTTGAAGGCCTGTTGAAACCACTGCTTGGACCCAGGCAGGACATGGCATGACCGTCCCCAATAGGTTCCAACAAAAACGGCAGGAGCCCCTAGTGGCTTCTTGTTCCTAGTAGTACGACCAGGAGGCCCTAGTAGCGTCCATGCTCCTAGTAGCGATGCCCTTTGCTCCTAGTAGCGTCCATGCTCCTAGTAGTATGGCCAGGAGCCCCGTTCGTAGCGTCCGATCGCTCCGTTCGTAGCGATGATATCTATGTTGTCCATCACTCCAATTTTCCTATCCTGGGATCGGGTTGGCCTCGTGGTTTGGCCCTTGTTGGATCCCTTGAAGTCAGGCTGTGCAGAGATGGTAGCTGTCCACTTCGGTGTTTAGCTTTCAAAGGTTCGGATCTTGACCGGTCAGGGGGGTTCCCTGTCGTGGTCCCAGGAAAAAGGGGATTTTTTTTTTTGATGGTTACAGGGGGGAGAGGTTCACTTTTAATTCTGATCCAACAAAGTTCTGAGATGAGTTCTGAGATGATGTTCACTCTTAGTTTTTTAGTTCTGATCCAACTTTCTGTATTTTTTAGATCATCTGATCCAACAGCTTGTTTGCAAGCATTGTTGCACATCTTTGCCGATCCCTTGAAATTCTGTCGATACTTATACGTACACTTTGGGACGGCGGACGTACGCTGTACACTTGCAAGCAGCATATGATGCAACCGATGGAAGATATTTTAAGACAGACTGTTGAGGAGTCATTTAAGCTTGCCTTTCATGGATGTGGTGATGCAAAGGTACAATAGGATAGTGAGAAACATCGTCAGAATTAGATTAAATGTGTGAAAACCATGTGTTTGTTTCTATGTTTTCTCCAGGACATCGCCCTTCTCTCCCGGATCCTCATCTCAATCCGTGGTCCTCGTGGTCCTCGTCCGGTCCGTACACCGGTCACGATCCGTTCTCGCCGGTGTCGATCCGTGTCAGGCGGCTCAAGGGCGTGTGTGATCGGTGTTTCTTCATCAACACGGTACAATGAGGTCCAAAGAATGAGGTATAGATTTTCAACATCCGCCCTAAACACATGATCATCATAAGCCAACGATGGTTTGCGCCAAGAACCAAAGCAAGCGGATCTTCGACCCCCCAACCAGTCGATCTTCGGCCCTGTGGTTGACACCTCGTGCCTACACCCGCGCGGCACCGGGTGCCTTTCCGGTGCCTGGCACCGGTGCCGGAATCCTCCATTTTCACCGCCATGCTGCGGTGTCTTGGTCGCACTCGGAACCGATCCGACCCGAGCCGGGGAGAAAGAAGCGAAGCAGAGAACAGGAGAAGAGAGGAGTCGAAGAAAAGAACTCCTGGTTTTTGTAGTGTTGTTTATCCGTAAAACAAGGATTGCTTTGTAACGCCCATGAAAACTCATGGTGGTTGGAATCCTAGGGGATACGTGATGGCATGGCTGGTGAGGGAGGAATGAAGAGATTTGGACTGCCATGGCAAACACCTGAACATTGTGGGACTATTCTGGGATCAGTTTAGTGGTTGAAGTTGGCTCGTGGGAAGAGGGCTTGCATGAGATCGTCATCTAGCACTGGAGAGTGGTTGGAATTCTCAGAAGTCTACAGCAATTTTTTGGTATATGTTTGAACGGTTGCTGCCTAGATTGGCTTGCCATTGGCTTTTCAAAGGGTCTCACTTGGTGACTGACCCGTTTGCTGGTCTAAGGGAATCCGGTATATTTTTCGCCGTGACCAAATCGGTTTTTCAGCACACCACCTTGTTCAGTTTGCGAGGTCGTTTTTGCGCCCGCTGGCCGCCTCTGGAACCCGCGGTGCGGTAGGCAACCGCACCGGAGGGTTTGCACGGCGGCTGGCCAGCGTGCGAGAGCTCTATGATCGTGGCTGGGCGGCAAGTCGCAGCTATTGGGGATTTGGATGGTTCAAACAAGCAATTCCCAAGAACAAGTGGGTGACCATACCTTTTAACCTACAGCCAAGTGTTTAGGCCATAGAAGAAAGTGCACAAGCATGGGACGCAGTAAGACTAAATGGAAAAACAAGAGTAACAAGAGTCTGGGAGTGTATAATATATACAAATATCTCAATTGTAATTAGTAATTAGTCCAAGAAAGGGATCCTTTGTGTGCCCTACCCAATCTCAGATGTTTGGCCTAACACATATATCTACGATACCATTCATGACGTTCATTAGTTGAAATATGTTGAAATTGTGGACACCTTCATACAATACAGATCCAGTCCAAAGATCTTCAAAGAAAAACATAACAAAACACAACAAGACGAAAAGACTTGATGTCAAATCTCTTCGGCCCGGGCCGGCCGATCGACACCGGCGAGGCCGATCCTGGGCCGAAGGCTACGCGCCCGACGCCTGTGGCATGGCCGGAGAGGGAGGGAGGGAGAAGAGGAAGTCATGGGATGTTGGGGTAGAAGTGGATGAGCATGGGAAGTGAAGTTCTACAGTTTGCGACTTGATGATGTTTTTGTGCTGCTTGGCGTGTGCTTTTGAGTTCAAGTTCCTCCACATTATTCCATGTTGGACGAGTTGGTTGGTCTCCGCAGAAAGACTTACTGGAGCAATGTCTCCAGTTGCAGTTCTGGTCTCATTTTTGGGCCAATCCTGATTCTGGTGCTGTCCGGATTGGTAGAAAGGATAGCCACCAGAGGGTCAGTTTACTGTCCGGGATGCTGTGGTTCTGGATGTTGGTTCGTGTCTTTTGTGCAGATTTTGGCGCTAGAGAAGTCGCTCAAACAGTTGCAGAGCCTGGTTAGGACGGGGCTTTGAATCAGTCTTCATCCAGGACGATCCGTTTTGTGCAGAACCGACTAACGAATGGAGGTGCTGTGGATCCCACGAACGGGTGATATTATAGGCAGGAGCACTTGCGGAATCGGATCGAAGGTTTGCTGTGGATCCGCGCGCTATAATTATATCCCACTGCGACCTGTGACACAGCCGGCCTGGCCGGCGAGTCTCCCTGGTCCTCGAGGGCTCTCCCCCATTTCACCCCTTTCCGTTTCCGTTTCAAGAGATGTCGAGCTTGGGTTGCTCTGCCAGCAATGCCGGAGACGATGTCCTTCGAGCATCCGTGTTCTCATTGGAGGTTGCCTTCCTTCTTTCTCTCAAGCAAGGTCGTGCTTTGTGGCTTCTTATTCCGTGGGACATGACCGACATGACCCACTGTGGATCTTCCATGACCTTCAGACGAAAAAATGCTCGTTGGCATCACACATCCTTCTTCCTCACATGCGTCGTTCGCTTACCGGTCCACCGACCGGTCCCTTGGGCTCACGGAGGAGACCGAACGGGTGACACGACGACGACCGACCACCGCGTTCGAAAACGCGCTGGGCGCCCATGATTTGTAGATCATGAAAGCGGCTGCATATAGCCGGCTGTCTTTACTTTCCCAAGCAGGTGATTTTTTGTGGGTTGGTGATGCAGAAGATGCAAGGAAAATAGGTGCATAATGTGCATCAGCAACCTGCTGTAAGGACACTATTTAGTTGATGTGCATTGAATTGCCTTGGAAACATGTTCAGATCTTTTCGGCATCAATATTTGATCCATCTGGCGAGCCGTTTCCTACGTGGGGGCACACTCTGCACTTACACTGGCCTTCGTTTCCCCCTGAAATCAGATGTGTTCCTACACACACACATACTGACGTACAACTGTCACATACGTCTGGAAAGCATCAGCAACTTCGTGATCCACATGGGGCCTGGACGTACCTGGACGTACCTGGACTGGTTGAAGAAGACTAGCTTTCGGGCTCGAAGCCAACATCCCACGCGGCCCATGCGGAAGAGGCTGAAGCTTGGCTAGTCCGGTGCTGAATGATAATGGTCATCACTGACGTCTTTGTTGGGTTTCCCTCCACACCGAACTCGTGAAACGTGAAGTATCGGTGTAAGATAGCTCAGGGATGGGAAACCAGGGATCAGAAGTCAGCGTAAGAGAGCACCGCATGATGCAATCCACCCAAAATTCGGAACGCGGGTCGTCTTCCTCGTGACTTCCGAGTCATTGACCTGTCAACTCTCTCCTCGTCGTCGAGACAGACGGGCGCTGAGGCCAGCTGGAAGTCATCGAGAAGTTGGACAATTTGTCCAACTCGCTCTCGGCCAAGCAGGCCGTGGGGCTCATCACCGGCGCTCCGGTACGTTCGTTTTGCTTCCAAGACGGTCACGACTGGTCATGACGGGCACCGTGCGTCGCCGACCGTGTTCGTTTGGGGGTCGGGTCAAGGATGAGGAGGGTCTTGGCGATGTTCTCAGCCAGAAAAACGCCTTGTTGGACGAAACCGGTCAGTTTGTTTGATCAAATAAAAAGCAAATTTCCACACGAAGGCTTTTAGACGTATGCCAGGAGCTTGACAGATGGCTTTTAGACGTATGCCAGGGGTTCCACTCCAAGGCAGGAAATCTCCAGCTTCACTTTTTGACCAGATCTGAAAAGCCTCAAGTTGATTCAATTTGGGCCTCACTGCAACTGTCGCCGCTTTGACGCCTGACACGATCTATCTGACTCCGTCTTTGCTCCGCACCACGATCACACGACACGCGGACTTCGGTGGACGCTTTCGATCGGCTTGGACCGACAGGTGCCCAAAGGTTTGTACCTCTATGGAGGGGTTGGCACCGGCAAGCCGCACGGTGGCACGGGGTTGGGGCGTCGGGTCGGCCGGCGAGGAAGGGCGGCACCGTTGTAAAGGTGTTTTTTGGAGGTCGAAGTAGCTATATAGCTATCAAGTTTCATCCGGAGTTCCGAAGCAGATTCTAACACTCGAATTGGAACAACGGATCCGAAATCAGCTTTTACTGACTGCCCCGAGTCAGTTCCCAGGACCAGGGTGGAGAGTTCCTTGGGACACCTTGTGCAGTGCAATCTCTGAGGACGATGATGCTGGATCTTTTCCACGAGTCCTTGATCGCCAAGGGCTTCAACTGTGATCCCTGGCATGGCTGAAGTGATTCCCTAACAATCCATGTATGTTTTGGCATATACATTGACCCCTGTTCAACCTGCTAGTGAACTTCAGTGATGTTTCATGTATGTTCTCT